TTTCATAAAATTGTTTTTAAAAGTTTGTATATAATTTATCTATGTTTGAGACCCAACATAAGATTTTTGAAAAACATGTTTTTTTTTTTTTTTTGATAATATAAGAAACCCATTTAATGTTCTAGGGTCCGTAGCAGCCTCTAAAAGTATTTTTTATACAAAGAATTTTTAAATCTAGTGTTATTTTATTATATAGAACACATTTAGGGTGTGCCAGCAGACATTTTCAAGAAAAGTTATTTTTAGAATCACCATTATATATATATATATATATATATATATATATATATATATATATATATATATATATATATATATATATATATATATATATATATATATATACATACATATATATATATATATATATATATATATATATATATATATATATATCTGTGTGTGTGTTTTGTTTGTTTGTTTGCTGGTTTGGCAGATTTTTTAATTTGCATCGGTTAAAACCATATTTCAAGTTTTTATATATATATATATATATATATATATCTGAGCTTCAAGTAACTACCAAAATTATTTCTAGCACTGAAATCACTGAGAGCTACTTTACAATTATTGATATATTGCATAGCTAATTAAAGCTCTATTTTTCAGACTGCAAGTACTTGCTTGCAATATTAATCTACAACAGAGTTCATATCATATCAGAGTCTTTATGATGAAGGCGTATGATGATAATTCATTTGTCAAAGATCTCAGTTCAGCAAAGGCAAAGGGATCACTTGTTGAGTCTTCTTATTCTTCTAGTGCTTTCAAAACTTCTGGTAAATGATTCCTAACAACTTTTACATTTTTTATTCAAGATTCCCAGCGTGTATCACTCCATTTCTTTGTTGTTGCTCCAACACATTGTTCCATGATTATTCATCTATGTGGTGATGCTGAGAAAAATGCATACAAGCGTTTAAAATATCCAAAAAATAACTTTGTGGATATATTGCATTTGCCTGCATCAGAAATAGTGACATTTAATGAATGGGCACCACATGGAGAGAAGAAAATCAAAGAGTTCTGTTCTAGAATTTATGCTTGCACTCCTTTGATGTGACCTTTCATGTTGCTTCCATTGTCATATCTTTGTCCTCTGCAGTCATCAATATTTATGTCGTTTTTAGTAAGAAAGGTAGTAATTAATTTTCTAATTTCTTTACCTGTTTGATCTTCAGCTACCAGGAAGCCCAAAAAATATTTTTAATTGTTGCAGAACTTTCTGAAGTTTCGACAAAATGTACCACTACAGTCATTTGCTTTTTATGGGCCATCCAATTTGAGGGCAAAGTATTTTGCCACCTTTAGGCAATGAGTAATTTCAGTTTGCACTTTTCTTGACATAAGTATGACTAACTCATTTTGAATCTTGTTGCCTAAATTATGATTTGGCAATTGATTGTTGGTTATTCAACAAACATTCTCCTGCATGACACATCAAGCTTTGCCAATAACTCGACTAGGTCAAGAAAGTTTCTATTCCCATGGGCAAAAACCTTTAAAATACCAAATTGTTTTTTGCCAAGTATTGAAAAATTCCCACAATTCTCTCAATTACTGATAGCCATTTTTGCTGCTCTTGCTGAAAGATACTCTGATTCTGTTGATCGATTGTACTGTTTGCTTGCAAGCAACTTTCCAGCTCATTTTATCTAGGATTTGTTGTGCTCTTGTGAACGATCATGCTCACTTAACATGAAATAAATATTTTTCCAATCACGAAAGCCACTGGTACTAAGTTTTTGTTTATCAATACTAAACAACTTGTAGCAGAAACAGTATACAGCATCTGCTTTTTTTGAGTATACAAGCCATGATCTTGTTATGGTTTGATCATTTGTCAGAAAATCACAAAATCTTTATTTTGCTTTGAAATTGGAAAAGCAACTCTTTGGGAAAGCATAATTCTTTTCTACTGTGTACTAATGTACTGAAACTCTTAGGAATAAAACACGCTTGAATAAATTATCCAGTCAATAGATTGCAGTGTATATTATAGCTGACTTTCAGGCCTATAATAAAATAGAGAATCCAAGCTTTGACTAAAATAAAAGAATTTGTTTTTCTTGGTATTCATTAATTCTTTTATTTTAATCAAAAAAGTTTAGCCCAAACATTTTTTTTTAATCATTTTCTTTAATATGAACAAAACATGTCTCGGAGGTTTGGGATCCCTTTAAACATAGTTAAATAATTTTTTTATTATGATTAATAATTTTATGTAAGTCAAACTAATTATTTTAAACCAAAGAAGAAAAAAAACAACAAAGTAGTAGCTAATAAAAAATGCTTTATTCAATTAAAAAAAAAAAAAATGTTGAGTCATGTTTAGATGGTCATTGATTCTTTCAAATTGATCAAAGAGAATATTTCATTTCTGACAAATTTTTAAACGGAATGAGCTGGCTTCAAGGATTCATCAAAAAATATTTAATAAACATGAAAAAAAGATTTTCACCTTCAGTCTTGATTAAGCACAGCAGAATTTTCATAAAGATTTAATTTTGCACATCATAATATAAAGATTTAACTTGGCACATCATACCATAAAGATTTAACTTGGCAAAAATCTTTCATTGTCATGAGTCACGTTTCTAAAGAAATGTGACTCATGACAATGAAAGATAAAAAAACAGGTTTAACTTTTAACTATAAAACAATATGGTCAAAGTATCCAGTGAAAACATCTACTTTCAGATATCCAGTGAAATCATTTGCTTTTAACCAATCATAGTTGTCTTGGCTGTCTGGTAAATTTGGCTTCTGTATGAATAAAAACAAATAAAGAAAAAAATGCTGAATAAAAAGTTGAAGGTGTCATTAACAATTTAAATCCAATAAATGGTAAACCAAGGTGGTAAAGTAAGTGTAAACCAAAGGATAAATGTAAACCAAAGAGTAAAGGTTCTGTTTGCAACATTGCCAAGCAAAAATAAATTTCTGGAAAAGTGTTTCCTCAAATAGAAAAGTTATTTTTGAAAAAGCACCGGTCAAACTGGTAAGTTATCTGCATGAAAATGTTTCACAATATACAGTCAAAAACTAAATTTTATTCTAAAATGAGACCAATGTATTCAATGTATATAAAAGTTCCCACTTGTGTACAAAAATTAGAATTAGCACAAAGTAATTCAGACCATAAAGAATTTTATTATTTATAAGAGAAAATTCATTGTTAATGACTTTACTATCTATAATAAATATATATATATATATATATATATATATATATATATATATATATATATATATATATATATATATATATATATATATATATATATATATATATATATATAAACATATTGTTTAGCTTCTTTAGTTAGAGCTAATAATACATTAGTCAGCTTGTTTAGAAGACGTTTGTGAAAACAGTTGTTATCTATTTTAGTAGAAATATGTTGATTTATATGACAAAAAAATTGAAGTTTTTTTTCACATACTTCGTTCTTTCCTTTAATAAAGTTTATTAAATTTTTCACTTTGTGCAGAATAGATAATAGCTTGCTTCCAATAAATCCATAAGAAGCAGCTAACATAAAATGAAAGTTTTGATTATGTTATCTTATTCTATCTGTTGTCTTCATATGATAAGAAATAATTTTTGCAAAACTTTTTTTAATATATTATTTATTATATATTTTTTTATATTATTAATTATATATTTCTTTTAAACAGAGTTCAACAGCAACATAAAGAAATTACAAGATAAAATAGATGAAGAAAGACTAGTCTGTAAATCATTAAAACAATTCAAGGTAAAAAAATAGTTTATTTCTACTAAAAAATAAGTTTGTAATAATAAGGGTATATTTATTTTACTACTAAATTACACCAAAGCCTATTTCATAAATGTAAAACCTTTTTAAAAAACATACTTTACTAAGTAAAAGTTTGAATGCATTATTGCCACATACATAGTGAGGTTTGATCTTTTGCTGCAACATAAATTTGAAGTTTGGTTTTTTGCTGGCACATAAATGGTGATGTTTAATCTTTGGCTATCACATAATCGGTGAGGTTTGATCTTTGGCTGCCTCATACTTGGTGAGGTTTGATCTTTGTCTGATAATAGTTGTTGCTTTTCTAGCAATAGTGTGTATTCAAATAGTTAATTACTTTGTTATTACAATACTTTGTTATTACAATACTTTGTTGTTACAATACTTACTTTGTTGTTACAATACTTACTTTGTTGTTACAATACTTACTTTGTTGTTACAATACTTACTTTGTTGTTACAATACTCGTTACAGTTTTAATATAGCAAGTATAGTAAACAAAGCACTGAAGAGTATATTGAAGAGTATATTGAAGAGTGTATTGAAGAGTATATTGAAGAGTATATTGAAGAGTATATTGAAGAGTATATTGAAGAGTATATTGAAGAGTGTATTGAAGAGTATATTGAAGAGTATATTGAATTTATAGACTTAATGAAGAATTTCTTATCATATTTGCTCCAAGCTGATGTGATTTAAACCAAGCAAAAAGTTGCAAACAACAATGAATTTTTACTAAAATTTTATATTTTTTATTTTAAGAAATAAGGGTTATACTATTTTGATATTATAATTCTAAAATACAATATCTTTATGAAGTGAATTGCACAAAAGCGGACACACAATACAAAATAAATTTAATGATAGGCTAGTCACAGAGCTTTATATTAATTTTATATAAATTCATAGTGTTATTGTTATTATTAAATTTTATTTCCCAGCATGTTGAGTTTGATGAAAACAAACAAAAGATTGAAAATTTAAATAATCAGATTCAAGTAATTCAAAATGGCAATCAAAAAGAATACAAATCATTTCAAGATAGTCACGAGAAAAGTTATTCGTTTATAATGTCACGAAGAAAATTGAATATTGATCGCGTTAGAACAGGTTTTTGTCAAGTGAGATTTTCTTTTGTTATTTTTTAGTTATAAGTGTTATATAATTTTATTATTTTATTTATTTTATCATTATGTTTTTTTTAAAGTTAATTTAATTTTCTTAAATTCAATTTTATCACTGATTTTATATATATCATCATCTCTATTTTTTTAAGTTAATTTAATTTTCTGAAATTCACTTTTATTATTGATATTTAGAATAATTTTATTATCAATAATTATTTTGTTTTGTTGTTTATTCAGCAAAAAAAAATGATGGTTTACATAATAAGCACTTAAGACAGTTAAAATAAAGCTACTGCTCATCATGTTTCTGAACTATCCTTTTTTTTTCTCAATACTAATGAAAAGAACTTAATGTTCAAATCAGGTTTACAACATTTAGTTTATACATGACTCTTGTTAGACAAGCAATTGTGTAATGAAAAACAGCTGAATTGCTTATGAGCACAAAATAATCACTCCTTTAATAAAAATGTGTATAATAATGTTTATATAGCAATTAACTTTTAAAGGGAAAACAACTTGATAAGTTTAAAAGAATAAAATAAACTTAAATTAATTCAAGCATAATCAGGAATCTTTTTTTACTAGCCAATCACATGATGTTTTACTCATTTAAGTTATGCATAAGCTGAATAAACAAGTTAGTTATAAGCTGGATGAGCAAATTAAGTATACGCTGGATAAGTAAGTTAAATTTTCTTTTTAGAATAGAAGTCAAGCCATAAAAGTTTTATAAATATAAATAAGATTTGAAAAAAAAACTCAAAATAAAAAAGGAAAACATATGTAACTAAACAAAAGATAAAATAATTCTATTCATAAGCTGTTTGGAGAATCAAATCGACATTTTCAAGTTTTTCTTTTTTCTTTTACCTACACTTTTTATATTTTTCATACAACTTTTTTTTTGTTTTTAATTTACATGACTGAATTTTTCATTCTGCAGTCTGCATTCTATTTTTTTCTATTAGTTCTCTTCAGGATATTATAAATAACCACAGTTTTTCATTTTTACTTTCTGCATACTTCATTTTTCCAATTTATAATTGTTTTTATTTTTCAACATTTTCTTTATATTTTAACGGTTAATGCATTGTTTTTTCACAGTTGAGCATCAACACAGTTGAGAATTTTTTTTTTTTTTTTTTTTGTCTAGTTAGTATCCTCATCTATGTCACCTGACATGATGCGCATGGCAAGAGAAAACGTCTTGATAAAAAAAGTATGCTTTAAAAATTATGTTTTGGTTTGGAAAATATTGTTTGATTTTTAGTAAAATATTATAATTCAAGCCAGCACAACAACCCACCACAACAAGGGATTGGGATGCTAAAGTTTTAGAACACCAAGAAATTGTAATTTATATTATTTATTTAAATAATTTTTTTTTTTTTTAGTATCTACTTTTAAATAAATCTTTTTATATTAGTTTTAAGTTACAGATTATCTTTATTATTTTATTTATTATTTATTATCAACTGATTATCTTTATTATTAACTTATTATCTTTATTATTAACTGATTATCTTTATTATTAACTGATTATCTTTATTATTAACTGATTATCTTTATTATTAACTGATTATCTTTATTATTAACTGAGTATCTTTATTATTAACTGATTATCTTCATTATTAACTGATTATCTTTATTATTAACTGATTATCTTTATTATTAACTGATTATCTTCATTATTAACTGATTATCTTTATTCTTGATTTCAGTCCTTCTAAGATGGTCTTACTTTTTTATCAGCTTTGATTTCAGCCCCTCCTGAGATGGTCTTGTTTTTTTTTTGAACTTGTACACTAAATTTATATTATCATAAGATCTCCATTTTGAGTAAAAAATCTTTTGATCCAAGTTATTGTTGTAATATTTACCTAAATTCACATTAATTCACTAATTAATATTAATTCATGTGCAAAGATCACTAATTAATATTAATTCATGTGCCTGTTTGTTTTTGTCATGTCTTTGGTTTGGTTGTGCAACTCTTTCTTTTATTTCTTAAAGAAGGTGCAACTCTAATACTCTACTCAATGATTCTGATTCAATGGTTGGCTGGTGAAAAGGTTTTCGGAAAGCTGTGGTAGCTAGGTTTCTGTTGTCAAAGTTTTTTGTAATTTGAATATTTTTCTACATCTTGCAGTGCACACAGCTTTCTTATCACAGTGCTCCAAAATTTTCTTTCTGTAAATATTTAAGAATGGTTTAATTAAATCTTGTTTACTTGTCTGCTGTAAAAAAAAGTTGTTTCTACTTTTGAAAACTCTGAAGATTGCTCTGAAAACCTAATCTCACCGGTCTTCTCACTATTATTTGGTTTTTGAGTCCTCAATTTACAAACTTCTAATATCTTGTTGTGAGCCCAACAATTTTCTCTTTAAAAAATCAAAACATTTTTTGATCCTCTTGTCTAATGCTGATTTGTTAACCATATTAATATAAAGATTTTATTGTGCATTTGATTAATGCTGTGAGGCAAGGTCCATTGCTCTTGACATATAATGTTAGTCTTTTTCATAAGTTTATATATGGTGTATTTGGGAAAAGTTATTGAGTTTATTCTTTATAATTTTTTCTAAAGTTATAATATTGTCTTAAATTTTAATAACCTCTGGGATCTACCCTTAATTGTTTGTTATTTTTCATACACATTAGTTAAGATGTGAGTCGTTTTTTTGGTTCTTGTTTTATTGACCAAACAAACCAAAGGCTTTTTTTTGTTGTTGGCTTGGAAAAAATTCCTCTTTTTCTTATTTTAAACACTAAAAAAATGTAAAAATATTTAAGTCTAATATTATATTATTGTAATAATATTAGTTAGTTATTATTATAATATTAGTTATTACAATATTAATTTTATATTATATTATAATAAAAAGTAGTAACTTTTTGAATGCTTTGAACAGACAGCTAAACATGAATAAATGTGGGAGTGCTTAGAGCTGACTTGTAATATTTATTATATATTTATATATTCTATATTGATGAATGATAACAATCTTACTAAGTCCTTTACTCTAAGTCTTCACATCATTCATTACTAACCTCTCATGGAAATCAAATCATGCAAACTTGGTATCTGTTAAGGTTGTCCCTCTATTATGCTGGCCATTTCTTCATCCTAATTCTGTACCTCTATAAATCTCTTATCTTCATTGTATGGAATATTGTTGTCATATTTGAGCTGGTTCTTCTAATAAGGTTCTCTCTCATTTAGACTAAGTCCAAAAGCACATTTCAAATGTTGTTAGACCTACTCTAGCTTGGCCTCTAGAGTTTTTGTTCTATTGTCATAAGGTTGCATTTTTTTCTCGTTTCTACAAATACTACCATGGTTACTGCTCAAATGAGCACTTATTCCATCAACCAAGTCTTGTGTGATCAAGCATTCGCCTAGTATAACTGTTCGTTTGTGATCAACATATATTATATTTCTTATATATTGAAGCTTTAAAATTTTCTTCCATTTTCATGTTTTCCTGATTCATATTTATTTCAGTTTTTTAAGTCTTCTGTCAACTGCTTTCTTACTTTTTAACTTTTTACATTGTTTTCTATTAACTCGTAACTTAATTAGGCGTTGTTTGCAGCCTTTATGTAAACTAATTTATTTACTTGTTTTCTGCTAGTCATTATCATTATGCTGTTATGTTGATAAACACTTCTATTCTAACTCACGGAGTCTTTTATGTTACATTTTTTCATAATTGTTCACCAGTATAATGCATAATGTTACAACATATCAATTGGGGTCTTAACAGGCTATCCTACTATCATTACTTTTTCTTGCTGTTGAGCATGTTGTTGCAGATTTGTTTAAGTTAAGTGAATTTTTTTGTTTTGTTTTTTATTTTAATTTTTTGTTGATAGGAAATTGTAATTCACAAAAATGAGACTGATCTTCTTTTGTCTGATATTGCAATGTTAGAGCAACAAATTCATGATCTTCATTAGTTTTACTAGGTGATATTTATTTGAGAATGTTTTTTTTTTAACTGTTTTATTTTAAATATTCTTAATATGCATCTTTCACTGGTAGTCTAGACTGCAAATTGACACCTGAAATAATCAGCAAGTAATTCTATTACTTATATTTAAAATTTACATATTGACTTCGATGAAAATTTTTGTTAAATGCAATTATTTGCAATTTAAAAATAAAAGGATTTTAGTAAAGAGTTAGGAAAATAATATAGAATTAGGAAAATAATATGATATAATATAATATAATAATAAGATATAAATTAATTATAAGATATTATAAGATAATTAATAATAAGATATAAATATAATATAATATAGAATGATATAAGATATGAATATAATATAAATAGAAAAGTATGTACTTTATAGAACATTTAAAACATTAAAAATTATTAATTTGTTTTATCTATCTGATGTGTCGCAGATTGTCAAAGTATTGTTGAAGTAGAGCACGTAAAACCTCTTGAATAAAAAAAACGTTTTGCAAATTATATACCAATTTAGAAACTTCAACTAAATGTTCTTTGATGTAATATAAGTTTTTTTACAAAACATTTTTGATATGTTATTTGGACAAATTTACTAAAAATATTGTAGAAATACCTAATTTAGGACAAACTGTTTTTTTTTGTTAATAATTTAAAAAAAAAGGTAAAAATGTGTGATAGATGGTTTAAAAAAGGTAAAAACGTGTGATAACGGGTTATGCATAAGTCTTCGAACTTTTTTTGAAACTGATTTAAATAAGAAGAGAAATTTTTCAACCTTCAACTTATTGTTTTTTTTTGAAGATCAAACATTAATGTATTTGGATCACTTTTAATTTTTATCTAGACTTCTATACAAAAAAAATGACAAGGTTTGATCGAGAAGCCCTCGCAAAACGAATTGTAACGTTCTATGAAAATCGTTCAAGTGATAAAAAAATATTAACATATAAACATTTTAAAAATGAAGGAATACCAAAGTCAACTATATTTAGTATTCTTGCAAGGTATGAGAAGTATGGTGTGTATAATGATTTGGTTAGATCAGGTTGTCCTTCAAAAATCGATAAGAAAAAAGTCAAACGATTGACTAAAATGCTAAATAATTCAACTGGTATTAGTCAAAAATATTTAACTTCATATTTTAAGGTGAACCAAAGCACAATTTCAAGAACTAATAATTTCAAAACAGATATTAAAGGCTAAAAAAAACAAAAAGCACCTTTGTATGAAAAAGATCAACAACAAAGAGCAGCAACATCATCGAGAAGATAAGTTAATAAAGTGTTCCATGAAAAAGATATAATCATGGATGACGAAAAATATTTTAGCCTATCAAACTCAAATATACCTGGAAATGATATATATTATACAAATAAGAAATTGTTTGCCCCTGATAATGTAAAATGTAAAAAAAAAAAATCGAAGAAAAGGTATTCGTTTGGAGTTGCATTTTTTCATGGATTTTGTGAACCTTATATACATCGATCAAAGAATTCTATAACATCCAGTACATATGTGAAAGAATGTATGAAGAAAAGACTTATACCATTTGTTAGAGAACATCATAAAGATAATAATTTTGTGTTTTGGCCAGATCTTGCAACTGCTCATTATGCTAATAAAACAGAAAATTGGTTTATTGATAATTTCATAGAATTTGTGCAAAAATGCGCTAATCCACCAAATGTTCCACAGGCTAGACCAATTAAAACATTTTGGGCTATTATAAGTCAGATGGTATACAGTGATGGTTGGAGAGCACGTAGCATATATCAACTAGTTCGAAGAATAAAGAGCAAATTGTGGGCCGATAGGCTGGTAAAAAAATTAGGATGATTAATCAAAAAATTCAAATGAAACTAATATAATACATATTTGAACTTAATGTATGTTCTTTACAAAGAGTTATTTGTAAAATTAGTGACGTACGTATTTTTTAATCCTTCATTAAGTGTAATGCATAATACATACATGCATACATACATACATATATAACATATATACATGCATACATGTGGTACAAAAATGCAAAAACCAAAAAAAATGAAAATGCAAATAAAAATTCTAATCAAATTCAAAGACCATTGGCAATAGGAAAACTTTTGAGTACATATGACATAATGGATATAAACAATGAAAGTGTTGAGGAACTTGAATATAATTGTCGAAAGTCATGTACTGCCTGTAAAAACTGCACAGTTTGTTGCTACCTTGTTTTGATTCATTATAATTTAATAAGTGAAGCATACGCAAAATTTGGGTTAGCTTATAAATATACTATGTCACTTTCATTTACGCAAGTTGCAAGTGAAAGAAGTTTTTCAATTTTATAGTTCATCAAAAATCGTTTGCGTAGTAGTATGGCTCAAGAAAATTTACAATCATTCATGCTCATGAATACTGAAAAGGAAATTCTAAGCAATCTTGATCCCGAAACAATAATTGACGAGCTGAAACAAGTGATCTGTTTAAAAATCTTTTAGTTGTTTGAAAATTCTTAATTAGTTGAATATTTAAAATAAACATATTTGTTCTTAAAAAATTTGTTTAAAAATTTCATAGTTAAAATATAAAAAAAATAGTTAATTAATTTTCCTCTAATGTGGGCCGGTCCAATATGAAATGCCCGGGCCGATTTTTAGTCCCAGTCCGCCACATATATATATATATATATATATATATATATATATATATATATATATATATATATATATATATATATATATATATATATATATATATATATATATATATAAAGTAAACCTTGTTTCTACACCCATTCCTTGCCCTAAAAGAAAAAAGTTTGGGTGTATAAATTCCTAATTTTATAAATAACCATTAGAAATTTTTAAGTTTACTCTATGTTAAAAGTTATCTTTAAATGTTAAAGTTAAACTTTAAGGAAATCCTGTTTCAGTATCTAAACCAATAAAGTATAGTAAATATTTTTGTGTTTAGGTTCTTCAAAGTAAGCACGCATAGTAACTGAAGACTTATGATCTCTTAGCGACAATATGCTAGATGATTTCCTTTTTTATTTTTTTAATGTAACATTTTTCATTTAGTTTGTGTTTCTTATATATTATATGTACTATACAAATATGTATGCCAGTTAATGTATGTACACTCCCTGTTTTACCTGTATATGTCAGTCGTACACTGGGTTTTGCTAAAAAAAAACAAATAAAATTAAGTAATTAAAAAAAAAAGTTCATGTAGTTAAAGTTTATCTTATCGAAAAATACAATAAATTTACATTTGGCAGCATATTAAACCGTAAAAAACGTCTAACAGCATATTAAACCGTAGTCAAAACCGGTATTAAGGTAAAGCGTACAAGTCGTTTTCGATAAAAATAAAAAATTTCGTCCAAAAAAGATACCAAAACATTTCGGTCACTACTTCACACTTAGCTAAAATAAAAGTAATTGCAAAGAAACTTGAAGTGCAGCCTGGCGTTAGCGCCCTATACGCCTCTAAAAATTTTATAATAAATAAGAGAAGCTGCCAACTAAAACGTGAAATGTCGCATAAATAAATAACTGAGAATAGATATTTATGTTTATAATAAGTTTTTAAAAAATGTTGATGAATATTTTAAAAGTTAGGGAATAAATTTGGTTCTACTGAATAAAACTATTAGGCTCTCTAAAATAAACTGAGCTTGCAGTATTTATACATTATCGACTGAAAAATGGACAAAGCATATTATGCAGGAGATGGAGCTAACCTGTTTTGATTTGAAAACACGATACAACTTCGAATTTTAAAATCTTGTTCGTATGTCTTACGATGCTTTTAAGTTTTAAAATATTTGGTGTGGATATGTTTAAACTAAAAGAGAGATATTGAAAAAAAATTATTTTAGCTTTACAATTAGTAAAACTTAAATTCTTATATAGTTCTTCATACAGACGATCAAATTATTTTTTTGTCGTATAAATTTATTCAAGTCGTAAAGCATAATATGAATACAAATAGCAATGACAAGAAAAAGATAATTCGTCTTATCGCGAAGCCCCATAATCTAGAACGTTAATTTAAAATAAACCGTTACCAGTAATGTGAAGCCGGAGTCCAGAATCTCGTCCGTCGTAAAAATTGTTGGTACTCCAGAATTTTTTTAATTTTAACTCCGCATATAAATCGAGGGCTTGGAGCCAGAACGGCGTGTAATGACTTAGCAACATTTTGAGAAAAAGCAATTTGAAATCTTCAAAATCATCAAAAATCTAATTTGTCACGAAATTTAATGTATTGACATTATATTATTATGTAACATGTAATTCCGTGACGAATTACATTTTTGATGTTGATTGAAGATTTCAAATCGCTTTTTCTCAAAATGTTGCAAAGTCTATACACGCCGTTCTGGCTCCAAACCCTCGAAACGTTTCCTTACGAAAAGTTATTATATTCTGTAAAGCCGTGTGATTAAAAAAAAGCAATTGCTTTTACTCAGTAATCAGTAAGTTGGTCAGCTTTACGTGATTAAATAGCAGAAATTTTGCTTAAGTTATTTAAGATAATTTTTGTTAGACGTTCACGTAAAGCTGAGCAATTTCTGAGTAAATTGCTTAACCTGACGTGAATAAAAAATTGTTCCAAACTGATAAAGTTTTTATTCACATAAAACTGACCAATTACTGAGTTAAACCAATTGCTTTTTTTTATTCACCCGGCCTAATAATTTAAAATTGTTTAGCCTAAAGTTACGTAGCTGTAAACCAATAAAAGCCCGCACGTTTTAAACTACACGGCGAAGGCAGTGTCCTCCGGCATATAAATTATTCAAAAATGTACAGTGTGTTTATGGCTTACATCGCTTATAACATACATTACTTTTAAAGAATATAAGAGGCGAAATACAGCACATGCGGTGTACAAAGTCTTTGGTGTACACTGATAGCTAAATATCAAAGTATGCTTTGGCAGAATTATAAATAATATGTAATATTGACTGAAATATAATTTTCAAGTTTTTTCAAGCCTGATTAAAATAAATGAAATAATAAATTTAAACATTGTATGCAACTAAATTAATCCAAGTTTACTGGTGTGACCAAGGGGGTTGCATCAGTCAAGGGCTGAACGTTACTCATGGTGGTTTACAGCGGAGAAACAAGAACTTCATCTTAGTAGAACGCTCGCCTAGTAAGCGAGAACTTCTCGCTTACTAGGCGAGCGCTCTACCACTACACTTCTATCGCTTGTAAACTTAAAGTTATCAAACCCGTTATCAAAGTATATTTGTAGAAATTTTTATTAACGTTCAACATAAATATAGGAAAATTGTGGATATTTTTTGTTAGGCATTCATTATATTTGAGTTGACAAATAATGCTTGAGAATGTGTTAAATGGCCCATAATGAAAGATATTCTGATTGCATGCTTTTGTTTATTAAATAGTTTTTTATCCATTTTTTGCTCAGTTAAGATGACAATGAAATAGGCAGTTTTTAACAAGTTAGATTTAAAAAAAGTTTTGCTCTACAAAGTAGGCTAATGTTTTTTGAGATATTGTTTTTAAGATAGTCTATGTGACCTCATCACATTTTTGTCAAAAAGTACGCCGACAAATTTTAATGTGATTTCTTTTTTTTTATGTCTTGATCGGCAATTTTTGGAGGTTTTAAAGGAATTTTATCTTGATCATGAAAACGATAGATAAAAAGTATATTTTGCTTTGATAACATATAGTGATAACTTATTTGCATTAAACCACTCAGTAAGATTTAATAGCTCTTTGTTAACTGAATATTTATATCATTATCAGCATAAAATAGATTTATGTCATCTGCAAATAAAATTGTATTTAGTTCAGTCCTCATTTTTCATTTATATTAATGATTTTAACTTTGCTTAAATCATTACTATAAATGAAAAATAAGAGCGATCCCACTATTGATCCCGAGGCTTTGTTTCACATTGGACTACTTATATATTACTATCATTGTAAGAAATATTTTGCTTTCTTTTTGAAAAATCACGAGGTTATAATTATTTTGTTTTATTTCCATGTTTTTCCGAAATAAGAAAATCACGTTCAAAGTCTTAAATGGACTTGCAGACCAAATAACATAAAAAACGCAAACATAACCGATTTGTATTAATTTCCTATATAGGCTAGCATAGTTTCAAAGAAATTTTTTTAAAATATTTAAAGTACAGGTGTCTGAATAACTACACCCTGATTTGGAGAACAATGTAATACACACATTTTTTATAAAATACAATGTTATCTTGTTTTATCTCCATTTTCTGTTTAAAAAAACATAATACAAACTAGTATTTTTTTATATATTGTGGCAAGATGAATGTATATTTTGGCAATTAAAGAACTGTAAATACCTGTTTTATTAGAAAAAATATTTTTTTTTACACTAGTGAACAAATTACATAAACACACTATTTTGTCTAAAATTAAATTCAACAGAGAAGATAAGTAATATATTATCCTAAATTATGTACCAAGATCTTCACCACGAAATAAAACTTTAGTTATAAATTCTAATTGCAACATCTAAAATACATCGCACAATAAAAAAATATCTTAAAGAATAATTAATTACCAGCACCTCTGGTAAAAAACACAACATTTCAGCAAGAAGCCCATTTAATAACATAACATATAAAACATAAATATTTTGACAATAAAATAAATTATTTGAAAGTATTTTTATAAGTTGCAATATTTGCAGCAGGCATATACTTGAACATAGTTTGAACAACGTCGGCTTATCATTTGAAATTTGAACACGCTGATTCAAGGCAGAGGCCATTAATACAATTGCCATGACAAAGGTTGTAGATTGTCAGAGGCTTATTTTATGCTTTTGAACAAACATCAGCAAATGACTTTTTGTAGTATACACGATCTGAATGCTAGATGCTTTATCTGGGTATAGGGAACAAGCGTAAAATCAAAATAGCCTTAAATCGCTGAAAAATGCTTAAATCCAATTTCTTCATTTGTTAGACAAAAAAAAATTTTTGAAGAGCAGGAATTGCTCTGATTAAACCAAGGGAGACTAAATGTTTCAATAGGAGCGACTGCTCTATCTATTTGATTATGCATATTGTCAACCTCTTGTATACTAGAATTCACTGGTTCAAAACTTTTGTTAAATTACTCTGATTATTGGGTAACATATCAAAAACAGTCCAAGTTTTTGGTGCTCAAAAAAAGTGTTCAAGTTTTTGGTGCTGACTTTCGTTTCCTAGTTTTTCCTCAACATAGGAGCAGACGACGAGCTGGTAATACCATCATTAGAACCAAGAACAGTAAGATCAGTTTTTAAAAAATGTATATTTGTGTATGTGTGTGTGTGTGAACAAAAAATGTTTTACCTTTAAAGTTTTGTTGTTTTTCTGTTATAAAAACATCCGCAGCTACTATTTTGACGTAAATTATTTGACGTAAAATATAAAAAATTTATGCCAACTCCAAGATAAAACACCCCCTGCCTTGAGCTCTTGGTTGTGTAAAGGCTAGAGATGATGTCTCGATAAAAATACTCATCTTGGACAGATGTTAAATGCATCCGGCTGCTGTTTTTTAAAAGGCCTCCTAGGCAAAGACTTAAGGGGTAAACAGATTCTATCTGTTGACCAGTCGCACCACTTTTTCATCTTTTAGGCTGGCGCAGATGTGATTTTAATACATTGTTTCCAGTTTAGGGTGTTGAATGCTGGATTTTCTTGACTCGATGCATGGGTTTTGCTTGTGTCTCTGTTTTTATGACTAAGCAACTTATTCTATTATCTACTAATGAGAGTACAGCTCTAAAACCTAGTTTTATGGTTCTGAGACCGGCTGGTAGTCAGGTTCCCGAACTCTGTAGTAGCTCTCAGAGAGGCTGATTCCTTCAACAGCTGTAAAATATCAAAATACAAACAGTGCTGTGTTGCGCATGAATGGTGTCTCTGTTTGTACTTTTGGTGTGCATTGCCAAGGCCACATCAAAGCCCGTTGTTACGGCTAAGGGTTTATTAATAGTAATGAGGCAATTGCTTGGGCTGTTAAACAGTGTATTGAGTACAATTTATGTTTCGATTCAAGTTCTTTAACAAATCTAAAAATGAATAAAGTAACAAAAACTATA